GTGCTGCTGGGGATGGGAGGAGCCCGGTCGGGCCTGCACCGACCAGCAGAAGTGGTGGCGGAGCCGTGTGCCACTCGGGACTGACCAGCGCAGGTAGAGGGAAAGTGCAGCTGAGCCCCTGCCGCTCTGGCTGGGCTCACCCTGTCCCGAGTGGCACACGTTCCACCACCACCTCTCCTCCCTGGTGCTGACTGGGCCGGAGCTGCGGCCCAGCTGCTGCTTCCCCTCCCCAGTGCCAGCCCAGCCCGACCCTGCATGGCCCGAGTGGCATGGCATGGTATGGGGAAAGCCTGCCCAACAGCCGCTTTCCTGGGCTTACCTGCAGGGCAGGGCCCTGTCCAGTCCCATGCGGCAAAGCAGAACCCGGTCCAGACACTGTTTCCCTTCACCGGTGCCACAGGTTCTGGCCCAGCCCCCCCCGCCCCTCTCAAGTTGCAAACGTGGCCTGAGCTGGGGCGGGGCGAGGCCAGCTGGGGCAGGCTGAGGTCAGGGTTGGTTGCCTCGCAACCAGAGCCCAAGTAAACAACCTGAGGTGCTGCAGACACTGGAGGCTTTTAGAGAGGCAGGCGCCATTATGTGGGTTTTGAAGGGGCTCTGCGGGCTGGAGAGAAGTGCCTGGCAGGCCGAATCCTGCCCGCGGGCCATATTTTGCCCACCCCTGTGCTAAGCTGTACTCCTGCTCAGATGCCAGGTGTCACTACTCTGCTCTGTCTGTCCTTCAACATCCACCCTTGTTCAGAGGATGGATCTTCAATCAAGCTTGTGGTTGCTTAGGGGTTTTTTGGGTTTTTTTTACAGGTGGCTCCATATTTTTTACTGACCTTACAGATAAGGGTTTTTAGCCTTTTCAAGACAGACAGTTGGCAACCCTGCTCAGGATGCATAGAGAATACAGTCATTATACTATAAGGCACTGGAACATGAAATAAGAAAAGATTAAATAAAGGCTTATTTTTTTATTGCACATTCATGGACGTATTGGAACTAGAAATCCCATTAAGATTAATGAAGCTGCAATAGCACGAACAATTTTGGCAAGCCTGAACCAAAATGTACAATGTTTGCCCCTGGGAAAGTTGTTTTATTCCCCACCCCCTGCCCAAATCCAACCTTAAAACCTATTTTATTATACTATTTCTTCCTGTACTTCTTATTTTCATCCTAAGGCTATCAAGTATAATCTAGCTAACCACGGCTCCTAAAAGTAAGTGAAGAGATGCACAAAGTATAGAGAAAAAATTGGTGTGTGTCTAATGAATATAATGAAATCCTGGTTTGTCGTCTCTCATTATTTGCTGACATTGATCTGTTGTTTCCTTGGACAACTGTGGTCTGGAACAACTGCTTCCTACCATAGGATAACAAAAAAAATGTGTGAGGGTGGGGAGAAGGGGCATTATTTAGAATGCTGCTATCTCAATGCTGTTCAGTGTGCAATAAAAGACAAGCCGATCTACGTGCAGGAATACAAAGCAATCTTACAGGTTGATCATTGTCGAGTGCTTTAGAATTCAGGCTGGCTGTTGTGATACCTGGGTTTTGTCATTTATTACACAATTTCAAACACACAGAAAAGTGTTCACCGGTTAAAATGTTTATACGCAGGTGGCGTGCTGAAGAGCACATTTCTCCAGCTTATGGTAGCCTTCCTACTTAATACGCAGCTGTCAGTATGGTCTTCCCTTTGATAGCAGTGCAAATTCTATGTGTAGAGAACAGACTCGGACCCTAGGGCACCCCCCTGTGCACATGCCTGACGCCTTCCCCGATGAGTTCTGGAGCAGATTCAGTTAATCAAGTCAGCTTCGGCGTCGTTTATTCAACATCCCTGTGCTTCAAAATGGTGGCGGGGCACTTTAACTAAAGTTCATTGAACAAGCTTTAGTTGGCCTCTGCCACCATTTTTAAGCATGGGACACTGAATACATGAGATGCTGCGGGTGCTTTAATTAGAATAGCTCCCAGGAACCACTGTAATTAAAGCAGTCCCTCTCCCCTCCATCATGGTGCACGTGTAAAGATGCCCCTAGAATGCAGTTTGAGTTGGAGTGTTACCTTTTGCCATGGAAATAAATTAAGAGGAAGATTTTTTGTCTTGGCTGTGGTACTGCAATGAAACTACTCCCTGTTGCCGCCACTGTGGAGCTTTTGGTACAGAGAAAAAGTCAAACATAAACCCAAGACTTAGAGATCCACATCTAAATATGATCCCTGCTTGATAGCACAGATCTTACCCTCGCCCTTTCTCAAGTGAATGAGAATATGGTGCTATTAATCCCTTACTAGTCATTCTAATACACTGGTTTAAAATACCAGAGGCAGACGGCTGGGGGTAGATTTGCACCTTTATAGACTAACTAAATCAGAGCTGTATAGTATAATCTTTCATCAGAAGGCTTTCATCAAATGCTGTGCATGGGCTGCAGGAAAGAGTTTCTGAATTGAAAGCAGTAATCAGAATACAAAGGGTAGGGAAGGAGGGAGGAAAAAGGAGAGGGCACTGTTGAGAGAGACAAGGTAAGCAGGAGAGAGAAAAGCAAAGTGCTTAACCCATTGAGGGATACAGGGTTTATAAAAGCTAATCCAGGTAATGGGATAAGAATCTGTAGGCTCTGTTTAGACAGTGCTTAACACAATCAAGTCTGTGGATGATTTCTTGTTCTGAAATATCCTGTTCAAGTTCATGTTTAAGGATTTTGTTGTCTAAGAGCAGCTGCTTTGAGGTCATTGTGGAGTGGCCAGGGAGGTTAGTGTTCTTCCACAGCTGTATCTCTCTTTCTAGTATGGGTGTCAGATCAGTGTTCATTCATTCTTACCTGTAGGACTACCCCGTCCATTCAATGTAAACAGCAGAGGGGCACTGTAAGCAGGTGATGGTGTATGTGACATTGGGAAAGGTGCAGCTAAATGAGACTTGGTTGTTATAATCCATGTTAGTTGGTTCAGTGATAGTATGGCCTGTGTTGATAAGGGGGCATAGCTGGCATCTGAGTCCAAAGCAAGGTCTGGTGCCTTGGTGAGAATAGAAGTTAGGTATGTCTGTTGTTGGAGAGACACCATTTGAGTTTGGGGGACTGCCTGTAAACCAAGACAGATTTGTCCTCTATGACTACCTTGAGATGGTCATCATTTATCCAGGAGAGGTTGGAAGTCATTAATGGTGTGTCTCATGTGTTCAAGCTGGCTGTAAGTGACAGCCAAAGGGATTCTGTAGTTCCTTTCTGTGGGTTGGCTATTGCAGCAAGTTGAACGAGGTCTGAGTCATCTGGTTTGGTTGATGTGAGTGGCTACAGTTTTAGGATTGTATTGCAATTGAAGAAATTCTTTCTCCAGATCTTTAAGCTGTGCATCCCAGGTACTGGGATCACAGCAGATATGGTTGTAATGTAGAGCTTTGCTGATGGATCTAGTGTGCCTATGAAAGCATGTCCTATACATCTCTGATTTAGTTAGCCTATAACAGTGCAAATCTTCCTTGCCTTCTGCCTGACTTCAGACTAATAAGACTAACCATGAGGCCTGTGCAAATAGGAAAATGTTCAGTTCGGATTCGGCAGATTCAGTTCACTGTCCCCATTCGATTCAGCCAAATTGGCTTCAAAAGATTCGGTGCTGATTCAGAGAGATTTGGAGATTTGGATGGGTCAGGGAGAGGCAGGCACAGCCGGGAAGCTGCAGGTTCTCTGCCGGTTCCTCCGGCTGTGCCTGCCTCTCCCTGGGCGGGGGGAGCTGCGGGAGAAGCTCCCATGGCTGCCCTGCCCGGCCTGATCCCCCACCTGGCCCAGCCTCCCAGCACTTAAAAAAAAACACAAAACAAAACAAAAAGCCCCGCACTCACCGGCGGCAGGAGTGGCAAGTGGAGCCTCTGGGCACCTGCTCCCAGTGCTGCCGCACCTGCATCAGCACTGAGAGTGGGAGCTACCCCCTGCCACTGCTTACCGGGGGGCATGAGATTGGGGCTGGGGCTGGGACAAGCTGCCCAGCTGGGGCGGAGGGGAGCAGATGCGGGCGCTGGGAGCAGGGGCTCTGCCCTGCTGCTGCTTGCTCCCTTCTGCCTGGAGCGAGTCGTGCCCACATCCCCCCTCCCCCAACCCCAACAGACTTAGCAGCTGGAGGCAGCTGTCTGCTGCCTGTTTAGTCTATGATCAAATCTCTGAATCAGCTGAATCTTTTTCCAAAGATTTTCCAAATAGATTCGGATGCTTCGAATTGATTTGGAGCTTTTACTTGGTCTCCCAATTTGATTTGGATTCAGAGCTTCGGTCCCCGAATTGGGCCGAATCTCCTCCAAATTGAATCAGCTACCGAAGCTTCGCACAGCCCTACTAACCACCTCTCTTTATATAAGAAAATCAGTAATGGCTCTCTCTAGGCGCTTGTGAAATTCTATGATAGGAAGTTTCCCTTCTTTGAACCAGGAATGTTAATGACAGTCAGTGAAGCCAGATCCAAATTGTTCTTGTAGGCTTCTAAACAGGTTTAGCATCCTAAAGAACAGAAAGCGACCCATTTCAACTACATTCCAGCTTCCACAAACCTTCCTAGGTGCCTTGAATCATTATGTGATTCCTTTTTGGTCATAAAAGGCCCCTGGATATCTATATTTAGGTTTCTCAATGTGCTCTACAATGATTAAGATCAAGCACATAAGCACCTAACTCCAACCTAAGGTATACTGTGATCTGGATCAGAGGTGGAAAGTGCCTGAACTTCCTAACACCTTTCATAGACAAGCCTATGAACTTCACTTCATAAATCTACTGGATACAGAAAACCATGGACTAAATATAGACATTGGATTTATGGCACATTGTAACGTGCCTAACATTTGATAACCCTAGGTAGCCTGTCCGCATTTTACCAGCCACATTTTATCCCCAGTTCAACCTTCCTGCTCCCCACCCCCAACCTACCTGTCTCGCACGTATTGTCTCCCATTCCCTCTGATCCTCACTGCCAGGCATTTGCATTTTCACAGACCTGCATTTTGGCTTCTGTTCCACCCAGAAGAGCACACAAAACACCCGCAAACTCTCCCTATGCCTGATGAAGGGTGTTTGTGCCCCAAAGCTTGCAAAGAACAATTTTCCCAACTATTTACTTGGTCTAATAAAAGTTATCACATCTACCCAAAGAACCTTGTCTGCCTGGAGTTCCTAAAGCATTTGGCATCCACAGAACACACTTAACGTCTGATTGACATCAAGAGCATTGAATTCAGTACAGAGCACTGAATGGGTACTCTCTAATAAAGGGGCAGAGGGTAGTGGTCATCTGTTGCCTAGTATCAAGTTAGTGGTGTAAACACTTGCCCAGGAAAATGGAGATTTGGTGGTAGGACCTCCTCAGACTGAGGAGCCTAAATATACGTCTCTCACTTCTCAGGAAAGGGCTCTCT